CTTGTTCAGGCACTGTCTGCTCAGCTCTGCATTTGTGTCGTATCCCAGCATGCCCTTGTGTATTTCTGGAGCTCTCTCTTTTTCTTTCTTTAAGGCAGATTCTCCTTTGTCCTATTTTGACTTTTATCACACAGGTGCAGCCTCTAGTCTGCTATGGTGCCTACAAGTTCTCACTCAGCCTTCCTTCTTACAAAGATGCTGATTGTTGAATTTAGGTCCAACCTTAATCAAATGACTTCACCTTAATGTCTTACATCATATGCACACACAAAAAAAACATTTTCTAATAATATTACAGTCTGGCATTTGATGGACATGAATTTGACTCTAGTCTATCCAGCACACCTCTTTTCTTCCTAGAGAGTTACACACACACACACACACACACACACACACACACACACACTCAAGACAGCACTCAACCTTTTTATTTTTTATTTTTTGCAGTTTAGTCTATACTCTGCATCTCCACTTCTGTGTGTAGCTTCATCCATCTCGCAAGAAGAGAACTATCAGTAAATTCTGCATCACTTGTCAACACATTTCAAGCCAACAGTTCTAAAAGAATCATGTGCACATGATCTGTTCAGTGTACCAGATAACGTAGTAAGGTACCATGCGCTTGGAAGTCGTCTGAGCCTGCAACACCCGCTGGCTGTTTGCCATTTGTCAGAGACCGTGTCAAGTGTCTTATACGTTACATTTCTCAAGTCCTTCTCACAATGGTATGAGATATGTGCTATTACCTCCTTTTCATAGATGAAGAAAATGAGGCTTGCAGAAATGAGGTAATACATCAAAATTATAGTATTTTCAAATTCATGTCGTAACTCAGAGATTGCACTCTGAAGCACTGCTCAGCATTTTCTGTATAATAAGATGAATCTTCTCCATTTGCAGATGAGGGAAAGAAATGCAAAAAACAGGGAATCATTGTCCCCCAGTCTCATACCTAGTGAATCTGAAATGCAAGCCCTGGTTTGATTTTATGCAAATCTAAATTTCTTTTATGGCAACTGTTGGTTTGACTCAACAGGGACCCTGATGATGATAGAAGTGAGGGAACGAGGGTGGTTGGCTCTTTGAAGATACAGCAGATCACAGAAGAAGTGGAATCGTGGAGAAAGGCATGGCCGGTTTGTTCATGAACTTACGAAACATGTCAGCCTGGTGGTGCCTAACTGTACAGAACTCTCCACTTTGAGACTGTGACTGTCAGAGTATGCATGTGGATGAGCAGGAAAGCAAGGGCTTCACACTGCAGTTCCTTGGATTTGGGGTCTCGGCGATCATCATCAGGGGCTCCATGCATTGACAGATGGAATTTGTCTTAGGGCTCAGAACACTTTTCTTTTCTTGGCTCCCCCTCCCTTCAGTTTCCATTTTATTTTTTTCTTCTCTTCTCCCCCCTTTCACTTAGCTATTTTATGAACATTTCCACAGCTCACTCATAGGTCCCGTGTCCTTCAGGTCCCTTGTTCTTTCTTGAGATTACCTCTGAGGTTATGTTGTGTGCCTCATTCTCATCTTTAAAACAAACAACAATATTACTTGGCTTGTAGGGGTTTAATGATTACATTTGATAATGATTTGATGAGACAGTAATAATTACATACAATTAGCTGAAGGTAAATTCACCAAGTCATGAAGACAAAAAAAAAAAATCAGCTTGACTGAGGTCATTTCTGACAAATTACTTCAGCTGTAAGAAAGTTCTCGCCTCTTTATACATGGCAGAAACCTGGGCTGCTCTCTTGCCTTTCAAGCATTTCCCTGATATAAAATCTTCTACATCATTTTCCCACAAAGTATTGAAATATCTCAAGAAATCCTTAGGAATAAATGCCCAAATTAGTATTGCCGGCTGGAGGTCTCAGCTGTGGAAGTGAAACCACCACCAACAAACTCTAACCCTCGTCAGACTGAGCATTGATTTGTTTTTATCTCATTCATTCACTCTTTCATTCATTCAGTTTACAGCCCTCCCTAGCCTGGAATCATGAGATAGAACAGGCTAGCCTCAAACTTTAGGCCCTTCTTCTGTCCTTGCCTCAGCAGTATTGTGGGTATACACTACCCTGCCAGGCACACCTCTAATTAGAAAAACAAATTGACCACAGCTTGGGCATAATTAAACTGTCTATGTTTGAACTTGAAGTTTTTCTGTTTTGAAATAATCCAGAACAGACTGGATGCTTCTCTTCCAGTAGACCTCTCTGCTAGGATTACACCTCAGGTCTCAACTTGCCGCCAGCTTCCTCTTGTTAGGTAACAGCAGGTGCCGCTCTCAGTGAAAACTGTTGTATCATTCACAGCAAGCTGGGAGATCTGTGCTTGGGTAAGGTGCCTACATAAGCAAGAGGACTTCCCCAAAAACAGACTAGACATCAGAAAAGAGGGTAAGAGCTCTTGATAAAGGGAAATCCCAGCAGAAGGATAGTATAGCCTATTAAGGGAAACGTAGGTGGACCAGATAGATGTGGTCTCTCTGGGTCTTTGTGTATTTACGATTTTATTGAAGGTTAAGGTGGATTGGGATGTTCCAACTTCTGGACTTGAAAAACCCGTCTACTAGGGCCTAGGGAGCTGGCTTTGCCAGTAAAGCATTTGCCTTGCAAGCTTGACAACTGAGTATAGGACTTTGTATTACCAACACCCACAAAAATGCTTGGAGGGTAGAATGGCTCCAGCATGCAGGAGATCCCTGGAGCACACTGACTGGCTAGCCCACACATGAGCTCTATGGAGTTCAGCAAGAGACTCCATCTCAATAAAGAGCTGGAGAGCTGTCATGGAAAATCCCACAGGTAAACCATAGGCTCAGCCTCCACATGCATTCACACATATGTGCCCTGAAGAGAAAGTGTTCCTGCAGTGGTGTTCTTTACACACGTTTTCACTGTAACCCAATGTGCTGTCTGAAGGCCCTGAGCCCACCTAACACCATCAAAGATGGAACTTTGAGACCTAAGTCTTTTCTGTTTTTCTCAAAGCCAGCTGCCAACAAATTTTCTTCCACTTAATTCCTCTCGCTCAATTTTTTGGCAGAGTGACCACATGAACCTTAGATTATGGTCACAGCACCGTCAGACTAGAGTAATATTGGTTCCCATAGTGACCTCTCATGGAACTAACTGGAATTTTTTTCAGACGGTTGTATTTAGCTAAAAGAAGGATGTATGAAAGTAGGTCTTGGGCATTCTAACAGCTTTTTTGCTCTTTTTAATATGCACCAAGGTTAAGAAATAATTGCTTTAGAATGTAATACATTGATTTTATTGAAACATTTCTTTCCAAGCACTAACAGCTAGAACTGATGCCATAACAGCCAACAAGATGTAGTCATTTCAGCCCAATGTAACTAAAATAAAAGTCTGGCTTTTTCTTTTTAGAGACCATCTTGGTCTCTAAAGTTCACAAGAGAACTGTAAAGAACTTTTTAAAGAAGCAACTATATCTTTTGCCCTTATTTCAATATGAGTTATTATATGAGCTAATATGAGCTATTACATTTGTCTCCTGTATGAATTTACCAAGACAGGGTACACTGTACACTATGGCACACATTAAATGCTTATTGTCAGAACACAGTCCGTGAATGAAGCTGTGTGAGGAGATTTCTGAGACCTTGTGAGAAAACACCAAGACAAGTCTTGAAACTTCTGTTCCTCCATAGCATGGGTTGTTCTTGGGATGTGTTTTTGTGCTCCTCCCAGATGTGGTGGATAGGAGTGAGTTTACTTCAGCTGTTGGTACTCACCTGTCACTATGGAAAAACTGTTACTGCCATTTGTGTCTTTTCCTCGGGATTGTGCACGTTACTCCGGTGACTGTTATTAACCCTCAGGGTACAAGATGTCTGATGCTCTGAATAAAGTTGGCTACTGCATAAGATTTTAGTTCGTCTCATTTTTAGGCCCTACTGTGCCAGGTTTACACCACCAACTACAGCCGCAACATTTATAAACCAAACTCTACATTTCATTACCTACAAGACCAAAGGCAAGTTATCAAAAGTTACTGAGTCCCAGTTCCTTACAGTACCCTTAAAACCAATTAAATCTATCAAAGGTTTCAGAACCATAGCTTCTTAAATGTCTGCCTCAGTGGATTCCTGTGAGTTCTCAATGTATAAATGTATGTATAGCTCACAAAGTTGATAATATATTATTATTCTAGTATATAGTAATAGTTCTTTTTTATGTTTACATTTATTTTTATTAATTACAGTTTATTCACTTAGTATGACAACTGTAGACCCCTCCTTCATTCCCTCCCAATGCTACCCTCCCTCCCTTTTCTCCACCCATGCCCCTCCCCCAGTCCACTGATAGGGGAGGTCTTCCTCCCCTTCCATCTGATTCTAGTGTATCAGGTCTCATCAGAACTGGCTGCATTGTCTTCCTCTGTGGCCTGGTAAGGCTGCATCCCCCTCAGGGGGAGGTGATCAAAGAGCCAGCCATTGAGTTCATGTCAGAGACAGTCTCTGTTCCCATTACTAGGGAACCCACTTGGAGACTGAGCTGCCATGGGCTACATCTGTGCAGGCATTCTAGGTTATCTCCATGAATGGTCCTTGGTTGGGGTATCAGGATCTCAAGGGCAGGCTGTTTGACCCCCCCTCCCCAGGGGAGGAGCAGTCTGTTAGGCTACAGAGAAGGACTTTGCAGCCAGCCCTGAAGGTACCTGATAAAACAGGGTCAAATGAAAGGGGAGGAGGTCCTCCCCTATCAGTAGACTTGGAAAGGGGCAGGGAGGAGACCAGAGAGGGAGTGCGGGGTTGGGGAGGGAATGAGGGAGCGGGATACAGCTGGGACACAGAGTTAACAAAATGTAACTAAAAAGAAAAAAAAAAAAGTAAAACTATAGTTTGTGTAGGATATGGAGAATGTCAGGTCTGCTGTTTGTTTTCATTATCAATCTGTCACTGTATTAATATGGCCGTAGGGCACAAACCCTGCGCGATTTTCTTGGCACCTCCTTTTTACAACGAAGACATGGCGAGATCACATGCTGCAGCACTGGTGCGGTGGCCATGTTTCATAACAAGGTGGCACCTATGACAAGGGAGAGCTGGAAGTTATTGATTTTTTTTTTAAGCTACATTCTTATTTTACTGTAACTGTCTGTTCCTGGCTACAGCATAGCTAAAGACAGCCTGGGAGTGAAGGGTTATGGTCTCCAAAGGCCAGTCTGAGATCTGGTAATGAACTGCTGTACTATCAGGGAGAAGAGGATATCATGAAGTTAGCTAGATTTGATTTTAGAGGACCCCTCTCCCACCTTGTGCTGAGATTTGTCTCTCTTTTGTGTTTGTTTTCTGAAGCGCTCTTTAAAAAATGGTATGTTTGTAAGCCAAACTTTGGGCAGAGTGCAGGGAGTCTTATGAAAGCAAAGGGAGATAGAAAGACCTGGAAGGGACAGGAGCTCCACAAGAAGAGAAAAAAAAAATCTGGGCACAGGGGTGTGTTCTGAGACTGATAGTAATAGTTCTTAAACATCAATGTGACACAACTTGGAAAGCACCTGGGAAAGTAATCTTAATTGAAGAATTGTCTGAATCAAGTTGGGTTGTTGGCATGTCTATAAAAAAGTTTTGATTGATTTGATACTAGAAAACCAAGTCCATCCTGGGTGGCACCCTTCCTGAGGCAGGTAATCCTGAACTATGTAAGAAAGGAGAAACTGAGTAGGTCTGGATAGGTTCATTCTTCTCTGCTCTTGACTGTGAAGTGACCAGCTGTCTCGGGCTCTTGCTACTGGGAGTTCCCCACAGCAATGGACAGTAACTAAAACTGTGACACCCTAAGTAGCTTTTTGTCAGTGTATTTTACCACAGCAACAAAAAATGAATCTAGAACAGATCACAGCAGTAGAATTACTCAGTTATTACCTCTGACCTCCATTTCCAGGGATGGCACCTACTTAATACATCATGAAATATCATAATAGCTGTCCTTTATTATAATGCCCTGTGGACCTGACTGATTGGTCAGGTTCTTTTGGGTCCATAAATATTTTTTAATATTATATCCTCATAGTTTCAGAAAATTAATAAAATACACCAAACTGGAACCTGGTTCATCAATCTTTCTTGAAGATAGTTGGTATGAATCTTACTTCAAAATCTCACCACAGTCAAATACACTGACAGACTCAGTTCTCAGACTCAAAGAACTGAGAGTACTTGACACAGGAGCAGGGAGTTATTCTAAGGGGGTGAATATCCTAGCTCTACTATGCTGTTAGTACAAAACACAAGAAGTACCTGGGTAGAAGAGTAAGTGCGAAAATAGATGACTCGTTGTGACAGCAGAATTTTTTTCTTAGAAGGCCCGGAGAGCAATAGTGCTTAAGAAATGGAAGAAAACAAATGAGTTGATTAATGTTATGGGGTTGGTGCATTTTATAAAATTATGTGGGATTACATGTGTCTCTCCCTCTTTGTCACCATATTCGCTGTCCTAGTGAACTGTCTTATGGTTCAGCATATACGAGATGACAGGGGCCACTCAGGAAAAGCTGTGGAAAGCAAGTGAGCTTCCTGGAGGTGGTCCGCCATCTTTGTATGGCTATGATGGGGGAGCCCTGGTTGAGGCATGGCCCCAGGGACTTGGTCTCCGGATTGCTTCTTGATGCTGATATGCCTTTTCATGTTTGTCAGTCATTACTGTATCCCTCACATATCTGGCCTAGTGTGGAGAGACCCTCACTGTCTATTGTTTCCTGGGTATTTACCCACTCTGTTGGGCATGTTTCCTTCAGAATCAATATAAAAATGTACTTTCATGAAATAATGCTGTTTAGATGAACTGATGATTTTATACTTCCTCATAATGATTTTATAGAATTCCTGATTTCATTCAAGTAACTTTAAGCCCTGCTGTAGAATAGCACACACAAAAATAGCTGCATTAGGAGCTTTCGTGCTAATTTTATTGTACACAACTTCAAAAATAACACATGAGATAGATGACCTAAACTCTAATGTATTTAAAACTCTAATTTATTTGGGGTTCCATAAAGCCTCTCCCTTCCAACCCCCAACCCTAAGTAGAAGAGTCAAGGTTAGTGGAGAGAGGTGGTGCAGACCCCTTTACTTCTCCTGGCTACTTAGGGTCAATGGGTTCTTTTAGGGCTTTACCAATCTCCGTCAACAGCAATTGCAGCCAGCAGCCTCCTCCAAGCCGCTGCACCGCGAAGCGTTTCTCTCCTTCTGTCTGCTCCAAGCCACCATACCACCCGTTTGTTTCTGGCCTCCCCAAGCTGCTACTCTCTATACGCCACCACTGCATGCTATACTTTTCCTTTTGGGGCTCTCATATTTATTTCTTCAGAGCCTAGACCATGCCCCTCTCCGTGCAGCATGAGGCAGGCCCTTACCAGCTGTCAAAGACCACATTCTGCATGAGCCGGTTATCAGCTATGGACAAACTTGAGCCCAAACTAAAATCCCACACTTGGGATTAAAACAAAAACATATTCACACAACATAACTGAGTTTACAAAAAAACCAAAACTACCATTACAGAGCTGTTTCTTGGTAAAAAAAAAAAAAAAAAAAAAACCTCGGTAACCTATGACTTAAAAAGCTATTGCTTTAAACTGATAATGAGCTTCTAAAATGAAAGACAGATAAAACTATTGCTTTGATCTTATAATGAACTTGTGGAGCTAAAAATCAATAAAGAATGTTTAGTCAGGTGCTAGTTTTGATAGAAAAACCATAATCAAAAACCCTGCTGTAACTCCTTTCTGTGTAACATTTTATCTGTTTTTGTGATAATTGGTTTTATGGCCACAAGGTAATTTTTCTTATGACATAGACAGCTTTGCTTTAGAGGACATGTAAGCCTAGGACAAAAAATAAACAGTTGCTGGAGCCCACTTTGCTTCATCCATCAAGTGTGTGTGTGTATGAATGTCTGATTTCCTCTCCCCCCTTTTTATTTTCTTTCTTTCTTGCTAAGAGCAATCAGCTCTGGAACCAAAGGAGTTAAAAAAAAAAATGGAAGAGTTCAGTCTCTCTTCTGGGATATGTCAGACTTCACTGACACCCACAAGCAGCCAGAAACGCAGTGCTGGTGTCAAAGAAAGCAGTCGCAATGACTTCTGTAGACTTACGTCTAAAGCGAGCAAGCGAGCAGTCCTTCTGCATCTCCATCAATCAGTCCACGTGTAGACAGAAGGGATTTAGTCCTCCATTCCCCTAAGTGCAGGGCTTTGTGTGTACTGTTTCTTGTAAATAGTTCTGCCCTTGCCCCAGTGACAATTAGTTTAAAATTATCGTGAGTTGAGGGCTGGGAATTTCTTCTTTACATCAAGAGAAAACTCATCTCAAGTGTTTCATGCACAGTTCTGTGTCCATGATTCAGAAAACAAAGGAGGCTCTTTCTTTCTTTCTTTCTTTCTTTCTTTCTTTCTTTCTTTCTTTCTTTCTTTCTTTCTTTCTTTCTTTTAAATAGAAGACTGAAGAACCTCTTCTAAAATGAAGACTTGTGAATATAAAATAGGTTGAAGCAGAAGTGAGAGAGTAAGGTGGAGCATTGACTGCTCTCATTTCTCACCACCGAGCACAGTAATTCAAAAAGTAACCTCTGACAGGGTTTGAGTATCTACAAGAAGCCATGGGCTACAGACACTTCTGCTAATATTCTGGCCTCCTACTCAGTGTTTTATTGAGACAAACCATAAGGAGAACACTGGATAGAGATGTAAAGAGAGAATGCATCATGAGCCTGACTCATCAGAAGGATGGATGGCTTCTCAGGGCTACCAACCACTTTCTTCCAAGGCCATGTCTTGTTCCTTTGGGTTTTAGGCAGGCTTCCTTCCTAGCATCTGAGGTGTATTGACACCTGTTTTTCTCTGCAAGGAGCAGCTTCCAGGTTCAGTCTTTAAAATAATTGTTAGGTCTTAATAACTAGAAGCTATTTTCAACATGACCTAGCTAGACACATGGAAATATTTACCACCACGTGTGTGTGTGTGTGTGTGTGTGTGTGTGTGTGTGTGTGTGTGTGTGTATGTGTTTAAAGAGAGATAAGACCAGAAGGAAAATCAGCTTGGGTTTATTTTTTTCTCCACAGTTCTTGATATCCTCAAATTGAAGTTCCTATCAAACATCAGTTAGTTGGTAAACTGGAAAAATGAAGAGTTTATTCAAATCATATGTGACATCCCTGTCTTTCCTTGAAAGAAAAACTCTGGAGCAGGCTATGTGTGCAAAAGCAAATGCCAAGCATGGTCTCCATGGCAGCTCTGGGAGCTGGCTTCCAGTGTCTAGCAGAGGATTAGCCTCCCACATCAGGGCAGAGCTTCAGGCCTTTCCACTGCCCTGCCCCTGGCAGGCCTTATCCCCACATGGCCTAGCATAGCCGAAGAAGGCAGGCAAGGATGAGTTCCAGCTTGCAGCTGGTTGCTTACAGCTTAAGTTTTCAGCCTTGCACAGAGAAAATGTGAGAAACAAAGGCTGGAATGAAACCCTACCCTCAAGGTGTGCGTTTGATAAGGTGGATCAAAATTCAGCAATGTCTACTGTAGGCTGGGTGACTAAGCAGTTCTGTGCCTTCAGTAATTACAGTTCCTTGGCTATTTCTGCTAAGAAGAATAACTCTACAGTACATTGATTTCCATTTTCACGTTCATGCAATGGCTTTACCCTCTAGTAACCTTAGAGATATGGCTATTATCATTCCCATTTTCCCTTCCTTCATGAGTGCCTCTACACCTCTGTCTCACTGACACCTCCCAAAAAGCTGCAAATGGAAATGCTTGCTTCTCTTCGAGTTTCCCAAGTGTCCCCATAAGCACTTACTGGCCACCACCGGAGCAGATATATTAGCTAGCTCTTCTGACTTCAAAGGCTCGTATCTATTCCTGCCATCCTTGGGGGACAGGGTGATCACAGTCCTGGATGAGTTAATGAAAACAAAACAAAACAAACAGACAAACAAGCAAGCAAACAAGCAAACAAAAAAAAAACCAGTGTCCTGAGAGACAAGAGCTAATGACCCTATGCTAGCACCACCCGGAAGGTCTCACGCACTCACACTCTAGGCAAAGCAGCTTGGAAATAATGGCAGTCCGCTGGTTTCCATATGCCTGGCCCTCTCCAGGTCAGCACACTGAAGATTCCTCATTCTGGAACCTTCCTGCTGCTGGACAATCTGATAGGTGATCAATTCATGTACGGATCATAGGCTATCCCTTTATCTCTGAGTTTCAGTAGAGTTCTCTGTTCAGAGGACTCTTAGTGCCCAAACTTGGAAAATTCTGGAGGCTTCTAGGACCTCACAGCTAAGCTATGTGAGGACATTCTCTCTAAAGTGATTATGTCTCAAACATTTTAATAATTGCAGCAATAAATCAGAATAATAATCCCTGTGACTGGAATCAAGTTAGTAGCGCCATTTGCTTCTGGTTTTGAATGAAGCCGTGTATTAAGAGTCGTGAGGTCCTCCCCATGAATCCTTGGGACACACAAGCACTGTAGCTTCTGTGTCTCCCACGTTTACACGTACAAGTGAGAAGACAGGCTCTGAGCCAAGCACATAAAGCTGCAAACCTTTCTTCTTGCAGCACACTTCTCAGAGTCCCCCAAGTTTCCCAGCAATCTGGGTTGCGTGGGTCCTTCAAGCTGAGTCCTTTTCATGACAGATCCTCCTTAACTCTGGGATGGAACAGACTCCGCCTCTTAAAATGGCCATGTGGTTTCTGCCCTGAACCTGCTTATGTGCTGTTATGCTAACTAATTTATAGATGCCGAACCTTCTTTTCATCCCTAAATGAAACCAGTTAGTTCATATTCTATGATCTTTTTAATATATATTGGTTTGGAGGTTTTAGGTTGTTTGTTGGTTTTAGACAGTGTCTAAAAATCTTTTACAGCTCTGGCTGTACTGAAACTCACTATGTAGACCAGGTTGGCTTAGAACTCATAGAGATCTGCCTGTTTCTGCCTCCCAAGTGCCTGGATTAAAGGCGTGCACCACTATGCCCTGCTTTGATGTATCATTAAATTCAATCTGTAAGCATTTTATTAAGTATTTTAGCATCTACCTCCATCAGGGGAACTGGTCTACAGTGTTTGTTGTTGTTGTACCCGTATCTGATTTTTGGCATCAGGGTAACAGCCTTCACAGGATGAATTTGGTGTGCTCCTTCAGACTGGATGGAGTTGTTTGAGAAGCAGCGCCGTCAGCTCTTTTTTTAGAGTGCTGGAATTCAACAGGGAATCCTCTATGTCCTAAGCATTTTCTTACTGGAAGTCTTACTATTTCAGTGTTTTTGGTCATTACAGATCAGTGTACATTGTTTATATATACTTAGTACAAATTTTATGGGTCATAGCTGTCTCTGAATTGATTCATTTCTTCCTCTCTGAATATGGGTTGTTCAAGTATTTTTCCGTGATTCTCTGGTGTCTATTATAATGTCTCTCTTTTCGTTCCATTACATTGGTCTCCTCTTTCATTTGGCCAGTTTGGCAAAGTACTATCTGGTCATTATCTTTTCAAATATTCAAAGTTGTATTGAATTCTTTGTTCTATTGTTCCTTTTGTTTCTATTTCATTGATTTGTCTACTTTCTCTGGGTTTGGCCTATACTTGCTTTCTGATGCTTATGGTGATTCATTAGTTTACTTTTTCAAGATCTGTTTCGGGTTTTTTTGTTTTGTTTTGGTTTTCTTGTGAACAATCACATACTTCTTAGCCTTAACTCTCAAGATGGCACCTGGCCATCTGGGTGTGCCAGTAGGGGTTCCTCTGCAGAGATGCATCATAAAGCAACAGTCGCTCGCGGGCCCACACATCCTCTACTCTGTTAGGGGCCTGTGGTCACTATCCGATGGGTAGGACTGTGAGTCACTTTTCTTTCTTTCTTTTTCTTTTAGGGTGATAAAAGGGTTTATTTGGCTTGTACTTCTACATCACAGCCCATCATCAAAGGGAAACCAGGATAGGAGTTCCATGCAGGAACCCAGAGGCAGAAGCTGAAGCAGAAAGCATGGGAAAACTCTGCTTACCAGCTTCCTCCTTCGCTCACATTCAGCTACTTTCTTTCTCTTTTTCCCATTTATTTATTTACTTAATTATTTTAAAGCCTGATCCCAGCCCCCTCCATCTTCTTCTCCCAATCCCACCCTCACACCCCTCTCTCCCATTCCCTCTTCTCCTTTTCAGAGAAGGGGAGACCCCAAGGGGTACCAACCCACCCTGGCACCTCAAGTTGCAGCAGGACTAAGCACATTGTCTTCCACTGGGGCCTGACAAGGCAGCCCAGCTAGTGGAAAGGGATCCAAAGGCAGGCAACAGAGTCAGAGATATCCCCTACTGCCATTGTTAGGGGGCCCACAGATGACCAAGTTGTACATTGCTACATATGTGTAGGGGGTCTAGGTCTGGCCCATGTATGCTCTTTGGTTGGTGGTCCAGTCTGTGAGCCCCCACGGGCCCAGGCTAGTTTATGCTGTAGGTCTTGTGGTGGTGTCCTTGACCCCTCACTTTTAAATTCCTTGTCTTTTAGATGAGGCATCTGCTCCACTGGAGAGCGGCGTTTTAGCCATGTGCTGCCATTCCTTTGCAGTGTGTTCTGCTGTTTCTCCCTACTTCTCGGCTTTCCTGTTCAGTCTCTCTGTCTGGAATGCATTCTACCCTTTGCTGTTTGATTTTTCTTACTCATTGCTTTGCGTGGAGAGAGCTTCTAACCTGATGTCTCACCCTGGAAACTTCAGGCCATGCATTTTAATTGTAATTTTTGATCTAACATTTTTATTTATTCTTTGAGAATTTCACACATGCATACAATGCATTTTGATGCCCTTCATTCCTTCTCTTCAACTCTTCCTGGATTATACACACACACACACACACACACACACACACACACACACACACACGCCTCCTAAGCATAGTGAATTTTACTGGGTACTTTCCAAAGCATGTTTTTTGTTTTTTTTTAGCTAGTCATTTCTGGGAGAAATTGATTAGGAGCATAAAAACTTATTTAGCTGGTAAGCATCACCTAGTACCTTAACTAGAGAATATTTGAAGTTTTGCAAAGCCCTTATGGATTTTTCCAACTGAGAAATGTTGCCTTAGTTCTGGCACCACCTGAGTTGGTACTCTCTTGCCTTTGTTCAAAAGCAAACAAGCTTTTGTGGCTGAGCTGGGGCTTGGTCTTTGTTTGGCAATTGAGACTCAGAATATCTGTGTCCGTACCTGCCCACTGCGCCTACAATATATGCTGGGTTTCTCAGTGGAAACAATGCTGCTAAAACAATGGCGCTTGCATACAAGCCTGGTCTACTGGCAATACTCTTACCAGATGGGCTTTATTCGGCCAATCCACTAGAATTACTGATTATAATTACTACTTTTGAATTAAATATGTGTTAATTCGGATTTACAGAGACTATTGTGTTATGTGGAGAGATTTGTGGCCATGTTTTCCATTTTTCAAAGGAAAGGACTGGGCTGATGTAGAAGTAGCTGGACAAAAACTCTGGCAAATGTCTTCTGGGTAGGCAAGAGTCATCATTCCGTGTGTCAGAATGGAAGAGTTTTATCCAAAGACAGAAAGCCTATCTCCCTGTGACACTCCACAGAAGTGAGATCTTAGTGTATGCAGAGTGTGCTGGAGGCAGTAGTGTCAGTGGGACAACTAGGCACTGCCTGTAAGAAACACCTTGGACACGCTCCTATCAAAGGAGAAAGTAGACTCGGGAGGGTCTGCTGCTGCTTCTTCTAGAAAATAGTGGCTTAGAATAGTGAAACAGCTAAATGCTTGCCCAAGTCATTTCTTTTGGGGATGCAGGAGTCTCTGTGTACAGCAGGATTCTAATTCCCTCTCAGTCCTTCAACCAATGTGTGTAAACAGTAAGCAATTCTGTGGGTAAATAATGTGATCTAGAGCCAGATGGCAGATGGTCCTAGTCCAGGGACAAGTTTTAGGCCATTTCCTACCTCTAGGATACCTAGAAATTATAGACATCCTGATCCCTTACTCACTATTTCTTCTACGTAGCACTCACCTTTACTGTTTTTACAGATTTCCTTGCATCTATTACATACATACAAACATAGCATACATGCATATAATATATAATTAAGTGTGTGTATAAGCACTGAGCCCAGAGAAAGACATTGTACCACAGAGTGATATCCCTCCCCCTCATTTATATTTAACCACATTTTCTATAAGTTTCTACCATGTGCAAATGAAGCGCAAATACAATGCTTAAATGCACCTCTAAAACCAGCTGCCCTACAAAACAGCTTGCACTCAGAAGCACACAATGCATTTCTTATCAATTGTACTGAGCTGAACTAATCTGAGCTGATTTTATAATCTCCAAAATGAAATGAGAAAGAGTGGTTTCTGGCCCTTCACAGTAGAGTTGATTATTCAGTGTTGCCAGGTTCTTAGTCTTGTCTAATCATAATAGTTCCTGTATTTCTTTTCATCACTTGACTTGCTGGAGGGTGGAGTGTCTTGGGTTGGGAACTTTTTAAGGCTATGAATCATGTTGCTGAAGACAGGCAAAACTTCCAAGTCACGCTATTTATTCAAGGCAGAAGATGCAACTGTTCATATCAGAGTGAACTGAGCATCAGAAGTCAGAAGACGTTCCCATTTGCAGACTACAAACCCGAGAAAGCCAGGATGGGCACTGCTGGAAAAGTAAGGGGAACGTTTTGGCTTCTTCGGTCTCTTGAGCTAATACGCGGGTTGCTTCTGAGAGCTGTGAGTCCAGTAGAGTAACTAAATACTTTCTCGGGGAAGGCGAGGCTTTTAAGTAGGCACACAGTGGGGAAACGTGGATAAATTGCATCAGAATGCCAACAGCAGCAGGATTCAATTGAAAACCACACGCTGAAGGTTCTTCCTGAAAGCGGTGATGGGAACTAGGGAAGTGTGGTTTATATGGATAGTATTCATAATTTAATTTCCTGCCAGCCAGTCATTTGCTCTGGATAGCAAACTGTTCCCATAAGGAGACTTCAGTATGGTAGTAGGATGTACTCACTTCATTTCTGGAATCTAATGGGTCCAGGATCTCCTGTGCAGATGTTGGGAAAAATGTGGCCCTGCTGTTGAGGATGGAAAATGCTAATTCGGAATGCAAAGTCAACAGCAAAGAAATCACATTTTCCAAGTTTCTGAGGACATGTTTTTTTTTATCAAAGCGTAAGTGTAAACACTCTTGGCAGACAGGACCGTGCAGTGGATAAAGGGTGTTTATTCCTTCAGGTGATAACAGAGCCAGCATGGCGACAGTAACTCAAAAACCAAGGCTGGCCTTTTCCCCACTTGCAGATTGAGATTGTTGGGCTCCTGCTTTGAATGGACACATAACTTCATAAGATGTTGGGTACTTTTATCTGTATTACTTTTAAACAACTTTGCCTTTAGTCTACTTTAACATTTTAGGAAGATAACGATGATGTTTAACATCTGTATAACACAAGAGAGGAGGCACTAGAATGCTAGAACCTGAAATAACTCCCCCCTCCCCAAATTAAAGATAGCTAGAATGAAAAACATTTGAGTCAGAAATCCAGTAAAAGCTGAGAGTCAGGGCAGTTAATTTTGCACCATGGAAGTTAGTAACTTTTGCCCATAGAAATAAATGAATCAGAGTTGAACCAAATCTTAAAATATTTCCAACTCCACATGACAAGCTCTGTGGCCTCCATCATGTGAATGTCTAGCCACTGTCAGAACATTTCCAGCAATGGAGAATTCAGAGAGTCCAGGCAGCACCTCCTAACTATAATTAAGAGTACAGCGTATACGACAAATAGCACGGTAAATTTAGAATTTTGATTTGGCAATGTTGTACGGTAGAGTAGTTCAAGGGGAGTTATGTTATCCACAAAACTATTCTGGGGTTTCTATTCCATCCCAGAAAGTGAGTATTCTCTCTGTTAATTTTTTGCTATTTCATTAACAAAAATAAAAGGATGGTTATAATAGTTTGCTAAAGATGCCATTAACAAAGTACTGAGGACTGTGTGGCTTAAACAGTAGATTTATTCTCTCATACATCTGGAAGCTAGGATCCTGAGAACAGAGTGTGGTCAAGACTGGCCTCTTTGGAAGCTTTTCCGTTGCTCATCTTGCTGTCTCTATGGCCTTCTCTTGGCTTATGTCTTAACCTCATTATGAAAAGAGCCTATTGGACTGGACTAACTTCGGTGACCGCATTGTAACTCGATAGCAATGGGAAAGCCCCATTCCAAGCACTGTACCGTCAGATTCTGGGGTACTGAATACTAGGGCTTCAACACATAAATGTAGAGAAGACTTTATTCTATTACAATGCTTAGTCTAAAGAATTTGGATAAACAGAATAGATGGGGGGGGAATCAAGCATGTTCTAACATTCTCAAACTACCACTGACTTTGTTTTAACCTGGTTTGTTTCCTCTCTGCATTCTCCAACAATATTTTGTGTGCTGCACTCATGTAAGATAGAAACATCTTTAACCTATTTTTCCATCTATATGGGCTGATCTGAAAGATGGAACCGTGGGGTGGAAGTGTCAGTACACGCCTACGTTTCTGAGGTAGTGAGCAAACTACCCTCCTAAGAGATGAACCTGAAAAGGGTTGCTCATTTTCCTGCTTAGAAAAAACTGGGTGCTCTCATTGAGTGAGAATTCATTACCCACTCTACAAATAGAGAGTTACAGCTTGTCGAATTGTAGCTTGCCATATAGCATCCGGCACCGTCAGAGCATCACACATGCCTGTATTTCCACCTCTCAGGAGGCTGAGGTGGGAGGGTTTTTAAGTTTGGGGCCAGCCTGAAGCCTGAGCTACGTAGCAGGATGAGATGCTGGGGGGTTGCCTCCGATGAGCTATGTTTCCTTTATAACATTTTTCCTGTCACTGTTAGATGTAAAAGTTCCCCCGTGCCCTCTGTCTCTGCCATTAATGTGGTGAGGGTCCTAGTTCAGGGTCGGCCAGATTATACCATGACTGAAAATACTTTCCTCAGCAAGACAGAGGGTGCCCGTTAAACGGAGACATTGGTGACTTTCTGATGCTCATTTGTCTCCAGCATAACGTTTCTCACATTTAATCTCTGTAGAAGGCACTGAGTCATCTAAAGGGCCATTCAAGTGTTGGCCAACAAGTTGAGAAGTAGCTAGATTGTGAATCAGAAAAAAAATGAGTATTTTACATTTTGTTTAATTTTTATCTGTGTGCTTGCTCGCTCGCCCTCCTTCCCCACCGTGTGAGTGTATTCATGTGTGTTCAGACATGAATGTGCATTTTTGAATGAATATAGGTGCCTTCGTGCCATGGCTCACATGTGGAAGTCAGAAGCAAACTTACAGAATATTCTCTGTCTGCCTGTCTGCCTTTCTCTCACTCTCACTTGCTCGCTCACTCACTGGATATATACTATTTGCACAAGGAAAGAAGCCCTGACTTGGGCTAGGTACGAGAAATGAGGCAGAGATGGAAAGACACCGTCACGCTCCAGAAACACACAATGCACTCTTCCTGGTGGTAACAGCTCTATGTCTTACCCCAAGTTGACTCACTGCTTTACGATTGCTACATGGTTGCAGATGTAATGGAAGACTGGGCTACATTCTCGCAGGCAAATCAGCTGCGTTTTCTGCACTAAAGACTTGCCCTTTCTTAATAAGCAATTCACGGATGGCAGTTGCACTCATATATCGCATTTGAAATCATACCGATATACCAATTTATTGGACGATTGCATGAATCCCAGCCCTATGTCCTGTGTGGCCATAGACCGGTCATTCCATGTGTTTGGCCTGCATGCATCAAGCCACCATCTCAGACAAAGAGCCACACAAGATGATCTGTAAGGCTTCAGATTCTGTCACTGAAGGAAAACATTCTGAGGAAACTCAGAGTTGGAGGTGCTCTTCTGTGAATATTTCTATGACTTGGGAAGTCTGAGTGTAAGATTAGCACCAGTGATGACGGTTGATCTCGTAGGTCATCAAGTGCAAAGCGGCTGTACTATGGGGAATGAACCAGCCCTTCTCCATTGAGGAAATAGAAGTGGCCCCACCGAAGGTGAAGGAAGTTCGTGTTAAGGTAAGAAGGAGCTGAAAGGCAATCTAATTAACCCTGAGAAGGCCACTGGTGTGTCTAGCTTCCTTTTAAAAATGTTATTTATGTATTTATTTGAAGTGTGTGGGTGTTGTGTCTGCATGCCTGTCTGTATACCACACGCATGCCTAGTGATGGAGGAGGCCAGAAGAGGGCTTTGAATGCGCTGGAACTAGATGCAGTTTCAAGGTACCATGTGGGTGCTGGGAATCAAACCCGGGTCCTCTGGAAGGGCAGCCAGTGCTCTTAACTGACTGCTGATCCATCATCTCTCCAGCCCAGAGGTTGGCTTCTTAAAAATGTTTCCTAACTAATTCTGCCACCAATTCATGCATGTTGTTAGGGAAGTGGTTGGGCTGACTGTGAAATGCACCAATTAACAATGCTAATCTAGCTTATTAAAGAGAATATTTAATTTTTTAGTGATGCAGTGTTTGATAGAGAATGATCAATAGTTATTACCAAGGATTGTCTTAAAATCTTCTGGGAATCACAGTATATTGAGATATGTATGTATGTGTGTATGTGTGTATGTATGTATGTATGTATTTGTGTAGCACCTGGAACAGAACCTTGGGTATCATGAACAACGCCAGGCAGGTACTCTCCCAAGGAAGTATATCTCTAGCCATGTTTTTATTTGTTGCTTGAAGACAGGGTCTTACTAACTGACATAAGCTTACTTTGAATTCACTTTGTAGCATGAGTAGGCCATAAACTTGGTGATTCTCTTGCCTCTGTTTCCCAAATAGATGGGATTACAGACCTGTGCCACCGAGATCACCTAGAAGATTCTTGATAGGAACTCTTTTGTGCCTGAGAAGTGACAGCTTCCTACAGTGCCCCGCCCTAATTTTGAAAAGCTCTTCACCTTTGGCTTAAATGCTCTGCTTATCAGGCCTTCATGCTAATCCTTCTTTGATCTCTTCCCTGTAGAAAGGCATCAAGATCCAAGCGGGAAGGCAGGCAGCAATGCTGTAATTCCCTGAAGCAAGGAAACTTGGCCTGATGCTTGATTCAGGCTCAGGCTGTCTTAGCATCATCACTATAATGTGAGAAAATGATGCAGAGTTAAACAGCACCGCATTGGAAAGCGATCCATCTGCTGATTGTGCAATGGTGTTTATTGCTTGTTTGTTTTAAACACAGATTTTGGCCACAGGAATCTGTCGCACAGATGACCACGTGATAAAAGGAACAATGGTGTCTAAGTTTCCAGTGATTGTGGGCCATGAAGCAGTTGGGGTTGTAGAGAGTGTGGGAGAAGGAGTCAGCACAGTGAGACCAGGTACAGAGGCCTTGCTTATGCTACTGAAGGAAACAGCCATCAGGCTTGAGGGGTCAGCCTAGCTTAAGGAGACCCGAGGAGAGCGGATTGTACTGAGTAATACCAACTTGTCAAATCTCAGCCTTACCGCTCTACTTTGTGGTACTTATAACACTGAGACTATTTTAAAGACATTTTTGTATATAATATAGTTTCAGTTCACACCTGTTACATCTATGAATTAATTAAATAATATAAGTATTTTTGGTCCTTGAGGTTCATGACTCTGTGTTTCCAAGGCTGGCCTGAAACTCCCTCTGTAGTCCAGGCTGGGCTGGCAGTCTTCCTGTATCAGGGATTACAGGCACGAGCCACCAAACCCTCTTATTTCATCTTTTCATGCAAATCGATGGCATCTGACGTCATGTTACTTTCTTTCTAGGCGACAGAGTCATCCCCCTCTTTCTACCGCAGTGCAGAGAATGCAACGCCTGCCTTAACCCGGAGGGCAACCTCTGCAACAGGAGCGAGTAAGGTGTCGTCTTTACCCCGTCATTTAAGTCCCCCCTCGATAGCTTCTGAACTGAATGAAGTAATGTGTGCATTTGCTGTATCCAACAGTCTGACAGGCCGTGGGGTGCTGGCCGACGGCACCACCAGATTTTCCTGCAAGGGCAGACCCGTCCAGCACTTCATGAATACCAGCACCTTCACCGAGTACACGGTGCTGGATGAATCTTCAGTAGCCAAGATCGATGCCGCGGCTCCTCCTGAGAAAGCCTGTCTGATTGGCTGTGGGTTTTCCACGGGTTATGGGGCAGCTGTTAAAACCGCCAAGGTAAGAATCGGGGCCGACTAGCCATAGCTTTTTCCTTCCCACCTGACAACCTCTCAGAAGAGGATTTTCCTAGAACCACAACAGTTAGAAAATATACACCCTGCCAGATGAACTGGACGGAAAATAAAAGGGGCGTGGGGAGAGCGTGGAGGGAATCAAAGTAGAAATTGGATTTGGTTGTTAAAAAAAAAAAAAAAAAGACAACATATCTTCAAATGACTCAGAGAGTAAAGGTTATTCCAACCAAGGCCGTCAGTCAGAGCTAAGACCTAAAACAAATCAGCTTGGCTTTGTGCAAAGATCAGAGAGGTCTCAGTGTTTGTCTAACCCTCCTGTGAGAGCAGAGGCTTATGGGTAGGGCCAAGCAGGCTACAAAGGCTGCGGGCTTATGGGTAAACCTTTAGGAAGGACTTTTGTTAACCTGGCAAGTGTGCTTTCCTCTGGTAAATACTTCTTTTTCTCAGACATTCTACTTCTAACACTTTTTGTCCTCTGAATAAGTCATTTGAAGTCTTGACCCAGGTCATGGCAATTCTCAGAAAGAGGGACTTTTCTTTCTACAGGTCACCCCTGGCTCCACCTGTGTTGTGTTTGGCCTGGGAGGAGTTGGCTTGTCAGTCATCATGGGCTGTAAGGCAGCCGGCGCCTCCAGGATCATTGGAATCGACATCAACAAAGACAAATTCCAGAAGGCCCTGGATGTAGGTGCCACAGAGTGTCTCAGCCCCAAGGACTTCACCAAGCCCATCAGTGAGGTGCTGGCCGACATGACGGCCAACACCGTTCAGTATAGTTTTGAAGTTATCGGGCATCTGGAAACCATGGTAAGACTCAAGATTCAGGGAGCCACAAAGTACCCAAGCTTCAAGATGTGTTCCGGCTAAAAGTCATTTTTGCATTGCTTTATTAACAATCAACATGTCTGTGGCTCAGGCCACAAAGCACAGGACTGGTGAAATGGTTCAGTGAGTTAAGGTGCTTGTCTCCAAGCCTGATGAACCGAATTTGATCCTCAAGACTCATACGTAGAAAGAGAAAACCAAATTCCATGAGTTTATCCTCTGATGTCCACATACATCCCATGACATGTGCTCGCCCATTCTCATGCCCACACAAAGACAAATGCATGAAAGTTCAATTAAAAATGTAATGATAACCACATAGGAATTTTGCCTAAAAAGTCGCAGTCTTAAGTCAATTTTGCCTGACCATGTAAGTCTCTTATCACGCCATTTTCACGTAAGTAGAGGGCAAGGAGTCAACCTGTGGACCATAATTTCTCTTGCATATGTGGAGATCTTGGCAAAAGTGATTCCATCTCTTGAATTTGCAAAGCAGGCTGAAGAGGGCAGGGGAAAGGTTGTTTTTCTAAATGCGATCTCCTGCCTCTAAATCCTTCACCTGAGCTTGGCTTATCACGCATAGATAACAGACTTCAGCACCCTGATTCATACCTCCCATAGGGCACTCCAGTGCCAGGCTTTACAGAGTCCTTGGAATTATAAATCCCTGGCTGTGAGGAGAATATGGAGACTTAGAAAACCAAACAAAACCAGTTTTGCTCATAACTGCACTATGGGTAAAATTTGCTCTAAGGCATTTGGTAATTGAGAAGAGACCTTCAGTTCATCATCGCTGTCTCATCCCTTTTTTGGTCTCACCTAGAATTTATCCCATAGCAACTGAAGCATTCTGGGTTGTACTCTACAAAGGAAAGAGCCAGCTACATTATGAAGTCCATTGGTTCTGAGGTGGTACTTGCGGCAAGTGCCGTCTGAAGTACGCTGTTGTTGCTGCCTACTGAATATTTAAAAGTGTTATTTGTAACTCAGTAACTAAGTGGGTTCCCTAGTAAGGGGAACAGGGACTGTTTCTGACATGAACTCAATGGCAGGCTCTTTGACCTCCCCACCTCCCACAGGAGGAGCAGTCCTGCTAGGCCACAGAGGAGGACTTTGCAGCCAGTCCTGAAGATACCTGATAAAACAGGGTCAGATGAAAGGGGAGGAGGTCCTCCCCTATCAGTGGACTTGGAAAGGGGCAGGAAGGAGATGAGGGATGAAGGGTGGGATTGGGAGGGAATGAGGGAGTGGGATACAGCTGGGATACAGAGTTAATAAAATGTAACTCATAAAAAAAAAGAGTTATTCAAGAATAAGTGACAGAGCAAATGACCAAACACTTGGGCCTACCCTCAGAGATACCACCAAGAAAAGAAACTCCTTTGCCTCATAGCTTAGCATTTGATTTAATTTTCAGACAAAAATTTTCAGATGTTCTAACTGATTAATTCAATTTCATTTAGCTCAAATAAGCTAGGGCTTATCTGAAGTGTTGATGTGATTATAAAAGTCTCACAAGGATTTCCTTCCTGTTGTTAGTTGGTTACGGTTGACTAAGTGTACTAAGAATCACAGCTACGCTGGCCTCAGGGAAGGCTACTATACATCTGAAGAGGGATATGCCCCTAGGAGATGAAGCACTAAGGACTAATGTTGCATTGAGACTTTTTAAATCAAGCAGGAAGCCTGGGGGCATAATTTGATTTTGATTCTAACTACTGGAACTCTGGCTATGTGCTGGTCATTTCTGAACCCATGATCTCCAGAAACAACAGTCCCCTTCATCCGAATCTCAGGTCGATGCCCTCTCATCTTGCCATATGAACTATGGAACCAGTGTGGTGGTTGGTGCTCCTCCGTCAGCCAAGATGCTCAACTTTGACCCAATGCTGCTCTTCACTGGGCGAACGTGGAAGGGCTGCGTCTTCGGAGGTGAGAGCAGCTGGGCCTCTGGACTGCGTGTAATATTTGCCTTTCCTGCCTATCAAGTAAGGAAGATTTGTGTTCTCATCTCCTCGCCCTCAAAGCACCTTCCAAGGATGCGTGCTAAATGACCCCAAGTGGAGGTAGGATAGCAATCACACAAAAGATGACTGTCTGTTTTTTATGTGACGCAGGGCCAACAGCAGTAGATCAGTACCTGCAACCTCTGTCACCCAAGGGCATGAATTAAAAGCATCAGACGTGTCTCCACTGAGATGACTTCTGAAGCATAAAATTCTCATTGCATCCATTGTTCTCCATACACCCAAGAACACTCACTCATGAAAGAGAAGTTGCTGTACTCACGAAGACCTTGGCAAAAGTTCTGTGCTCAGAGCCTAAATAAGTGAACAGACGGGGTGTCACATTTTATAGGGACAGTTCAATTTCCCATCAGAACAACCAAGAAGCAGTAAAGATGAGGCCAGAATCAATCACTCTCCTGTAGTAGATAGTTCAGTAACAGGTTCAGACCCCACCTTCGGAGCCTGGTTCTCTGTTACCTTCATACAGCAATGGGGCATTTCCGAGGCACTCCTCATATTAGACTGTCTTATACCGTGCAAAAGGGTAATATCTGAGCACCTGCTGAGAGTATAAAAAGAAGAGAGATGATTGCTCTTGGGTTAGAGAAGTATGTAGTTTGTTGGAAAATGCAAAACAAAGATATTAAAGAAACAATATAAAATTGGCACTGCTATTGACATTAACAGACCAATTATAAGAGGAGTCATTTAACATTTATTTTATGTTGACAGTTTCACATAGGGCTGGGGAGGTGGTTCAGGGACAACGTGATTGCTGCACAAGCCTGAGGACCCAAGTTCAAATCCCCAGACTGGGGGCTGGTGCGCAGGGGGTGGAATCAAGAATAGTCAGGAGCAAGTGAAGCCTTTATGACTGTTGCCATAGTCTTTTCTAGTGTCAGCTGCATTTATCCCATAGTGAAAATGACTTAATTGTATATTTACAGGACAGCATCCAATATTGGATATATTATTAGGCCTTCCAATTTTCCAATTTTACAGAACTCTGAGAAACATGTGCCACAGGTAGGCAGCTAGCTACGAGTCTATGCTGAAGAAAATGTCCCACTGGAGACAGAAACTTAAGTGTTGTAAATATAGTTTATTTAAAGTTATTAGACTAGAGGAGATTACCCTGAGAGAGACAAAGAGGAGGAGAGGTATGAAGACCAGTTCCTGGGACACATTAGACGTTTCAGAGACATGAAGGATTCAGGAGAGAGCTTCTCCTAGCTGAAGTAGGAGATGAACTGTGATGATAATATGAGCAGAAGCAAGTGAGCAGAGTGAGGGACAGGAAGGATCAGCCACCGAGACTTCCCAGAGCACACATTAGTTCAGAAATCATAGTCCACCATTGAGTCAAAATGACACGTGAGTGTGTGTGTGGCGGGTGCAGGGTAACCTTGGCCAGAGCTGAAACATCAGCGCGCCAGACTGTGAATATATGTAGAGTGACCGCACAGGAGACTGAGTGCTACTGGAACCAGCAACTATGCACGGGAGACAATTCTGTCTGTGGTTCTCTACACACAGAGATGTGGGACAGCTGGAAGGAGACACAGGACTCGGGAAGGGTTTTGCTAGCCTTTGTTTCTTAAGATGGGAGAAACACGGCTCATTTGTATGCTGGGGGATGGCAATAATGCGTAAGAGAAATGACACAAATATAATGCCATAAAATGTGAGGGTTACCTAGTAAAGTACACAGGACCTTTACCCACAGGTTGGAAGGGCAGAGATGATGTACCCAAACTGGTGACTGAGTTCCTGGAAAAGAAGTTTGACCTGGGCCAGTTGATAACCCACACATTGCCTTTTAAGAATGTCAATGAAGGATTTGAATTGCTCTATTCAGGGCAAAGGTATGTGTGGTGACTTTTGATTCCTTTCACATGGTATATGTTTAAATTTTCTTCCATTTTTATTTTGGATTATTTAAGCTAGCCAGGTGAACGCAGCTACTCAGTTCTTTCTATTCATAGAATGGCATCTCTACATGAGCTCTTTAAAATCCCCTGGGCTTCAGTTTTTCAGGTCCGCTGGATCTCGTTGGCCACTTTAAAAAAAATTATAAAGCTGCTAGAATCCTCAAGTAATGCCACAACTAACTTCTTGACAGTTCCCGGAGCTCTTACGCAACTGTGCTTGTTTTCTGAGTCTTGTTTCTCAGACGTTATTCTTGCCATATTCAGCTGATGAAACAAAGGTTACAAAAGGCAAATAAATAATATCTGATCTCATGGAAGTGGTGTCAGGGTGTGCTGTGCTCTACGAAGGCCAGACTTCTCACCCAAAGCCCCACAAGCTCCAGGTAAAGAGGAAGTCCTCCTCCAGTTTAACAGTGAGTACTCCTGGCATACCCCTCCTCTCTTCTGAGCACTGGGCAAGAGCCAGGTGGAGTGTGAGGAAGTCAAATTTCAGCTACTCTTTCCTTATGAATCTGTTTTGGAGCTGCCTGTGTGAACGAGATAGACGACACTCACTGGTCCTGTAAATACTATCTACCATGTGCAGTGGTTTTGGAGGCTGCCTGAAATAGGAACTAGTATTTCTTTCCAATATTCTTTCTAGCCTGGTGCGGTCTACGGAATCACAACATTACATACATATGTCTAAATTTTAATTTTTAAACAGGGGAACAACGAATGGTTTTCTACCAGAAAAAAAAAGTCAAAACTCATTTATTTACATAAACAAAGCTAGTATTTTAATATGATTTGAAAACAATTACTAGTTGTTTTCCAAATAAGCGAAATTACTTTCAGAAATCTTATTCTCCTATCTCCCTAATGCAGTGCCTTGCCAAGTGACATTTGTAATCCTGAGCCTCTCGGTTTCCATGACTTCCTGCCCAGAACCCCTACAGTGTTCCATTCATGTCAGCTTCACCAGGATAATTCTTTTCTACACCTAAACAGAGAATGGCATGTATTCTACATCTTCATTCTGACTGCTGGCCAGTGTGTCCAAGGCGAGGCTGAGCCCTGCAGGCAGCCCCTTCTCCCCTTCTCCTGCAGGCTCTCTCTTCTTCCCCTGCCCAAGATCTTTATCCTGGCTCAGTCTGATCATGGCTCTGTACATATTGTCATAGTTATCTAGCAGGCCTCCTGCTTTCTGCTCTCCAGCCCTGGTCAGTCCTTCAGTAGCAGATGCATTCAGGCTGTCCCTAAATATCAATGTCTTGGGGTGGTTTCATTACTGAACTAACACCCACTTTAATTTATTAACTTGTCTAATATCCGGTAACTAAGAATGCAGCACCACTCTCCTAGGCCCCAGAAAAACTCTGGGACACAGGGAAAGTGGGTCTCTCCTGCTTCTACCATCTCTGGGTCATGAAGAAATCTACATCCTCTGGATTGTCGTTCCTGTTCTCCCCACTGTGGCCTTAGTCCTGTGTTTGCTGGACACTCCTTCCTGTTAGTGGCTGCAGTTAAGCACATGCTTCCAAAGTCAGCTCAATACCCACACATGTTCCCTTCCAGAATGCACAGAAGGCATGAACCTCAACCCAATTAACTTTCCCACAACAGAACCAACCATAAGGTTTCTATAATAGAAAGTCAAGAAATTTCTTGACTGAATAGAAACACACACACACACACACACACACACACACACACACACTGACTAAAAGTTATCATTTTCCATTTCAGCGTTCGGACTGTCCTGACATTTTGAGATCCAGAGAGCTGGGTGTTCTTTGCTGGGTGACTGTGACCTGAAGCCTCCTTCCTGACAAGGACCTCTGACATCATGAGTCTGTCTGAGAAATGCATGCAGAAGCAGATCTGGGGAAGATATAGAAGCTTGATAGAGTTTTCTAAACCTTTTTAAGTTTAGTTTAGTGGGTGCCTAAGCTCAGCTGAGTAAATGTTTTAATTTGTGTTTCCTAAGGCTATAATTCTATATTTTTATAAACATATTCTTGGATTTCCACTTGTTGGAACAGGGATTGTTTTCATCATTTTACCAGTTGCTGTGACTTAAAACAGACTCAGCATGTATAGGTGCAGTAAATACATGTTTATAGAAATACTCATCAAACCAGAATGACTCATTCTTTTATTTATTTTTTTTAACAAAAACAATTTTGAAACATGTTACAAATTAACTTGAATTAACTTGCGAAATTGCGCACATCACTTGATTAGATCAAGAAAGAAATTGGGAAATTTAAGGGAAGGGCACATTTTTCAATGATTAACTTGAAGAATTATCATTATGTAACTTTGTGACCTGGAACCAGCACAACAGTGCCCTGCCCAGGGCTATTTGTCAGTGTGTATTCATAGAAGACAAAAAGTCTTAGGATAGCAATTAAATATGAACCATAGTGATAATCACGTTGTGATACTTACCATAATATTCAGTTCAATAAAGTAGAATGATAAGTCAAGTTACACAGCAGCAACTACATTTAACATGAAGATGTTTTTAGTTTGCAGCGTGAATATGTATCTGTCTGTGGACAGATACATACATATAATGTGTTAAAGTTTCATTATGACATGCATCAGGCTGACCCAGGATAGCCTCAAACTAGGATTACCAGCATGCATACCTGGCTGAATGTTCTTTTTTTAATTTTTTATTAATTACACTTTATTCACTTTGTATCTCCCCCATAAACTCCTCCCTCCTCCCCTCCTAATCCCACCCTCCCTCCCCCTTCTTCACGCATGCCCCTCCCCAAGTCCACTGATAGGGGAGGTCTTCCTCCCCTTCCTTCTGATCCTAGTCTATCAGATCTCATCAGGAGTGGCTGCATTGTCTTCTTCTGTGGCCTGGTAAGGCTGCTCCCCCCTCAGGGGGAGGTGATCAAAGAGCAGGCCAATCAGTTCATGTCAGAGACAGTCCCTGTTCCTATTACTATAGAACCCACTTGGACACTGAACTGCCATGAAGCTACATCTGTGCAGGAGTTCTAGGTTATCTCCATGCATGGTACTTGGTTGGAGTATGAGTCTCTGGGAAGTTCCCTGTGTTCAAATTTTCTGGTTCTGTTGCTCTCCTTGTGGCGCTCCTGTCCTCTCCAGCTCTTACTATTTCCCACTTCTTACATAAGATTCCATGCACTCCACCCAACAGTTGCCCATAAGTCTCAGCGTCTGCTTTGATAGTCTGCAGGGCAGAGCTTTTCAGAGGCCCTCCGTGGAAGGTTTCTAGCTTGTTCCCTATTTTCTTCTTCTTCTGATGTCCTTCCTTTTTGCCTTTCGGGATGGGGATTGAGTATTTTAGTCAGGGTCCCTGGCTGAACGTCCTTAATAAAAAGTTACACAAAATGATTTGTAGTGACAAGCTTGTTTGAAATGAGCAGTTTTATTTAATTGTTGAGGTTTTAATGGTTTTAAAGTATTGGAGTATCTGGAAACAAAATGGTTAATAAGGAAAAGTTGTTTAGGAATAGCAGAAAACTGAGATTTCTACATAAGGACATAGTCTAGGCTGAAAATCCAGGTGACCATGAGCCAAATACATGATAAATCTTTTCCAATAAAATGTGGCCTGAACCCAGGGGACAAACATACTCCTTTATTCTTCCAAACTCATTTTAGGAACTCTGTGTTTCTCTGAGAGCAGAAGCAGACAGGGACATACATACAAACCAAAACTGCTAACATATGTGCCTAATAACACATGAGGAAAATATCTCAGTGGGGCACTGGGGAGATGGCTCAGTAGTTAAGAGAGCAAGCTCTTCCCAAAATCAGTCCCCAGCACCAATACTGGTGGGCTCAGAGCTGATCTTAACTCCAGCTCCAGGGCACCCAGCACACTTCTCCGGTCTCAGGGACACCTGTACTCATGTGCACACACCTCCCCACACACATATTTTAAAAGAATATTTTTAAAAGAAATTCTCAGTAGAATTCTATAAAAATAAAATATTGAATCCTCTAAGATAAAAGTGGTAAGTGGTTCTATACTCTTTTTAAATTGGGTTATTTGTTTTCTTGATGTTCACGTTTTTAAGTCCTTTGGATAGTCTACTAATGAACCCCCTGTCAGATGTTTAATGGGTAAATGTTTTATCCGTCAGGTAGGCTGCCTCTGCTCAAATGCTGGTGTCTTTCACTGTATATTAGCTTTGATGAGGTCCCATTTCTTATTAGGCTTAATGCCTGTGCTATTGGAGTGCTGTTCAGAAAGTCCTTTCCTGGACAATGAGTTTAAGCCCATTCCCTGCTTTCTCTTTTATAACATTCAAGGTATCAGGTCTTACATTGGGGTTTTTGATCCATCTGGAGTTGCGTTTTGTGCAGAGCAGTAGATATGAATTTATGTTCATTCTTCTACATGCAGCTCTCCAGTTTGACCAGTGCCACTGGTTGAAGATGCTTTTTTCTAGTTTGTATCTCTGGCTTCTTTGTAATATATAAATATATATATCATACAATATGTACATATACCATATGTACCTATACCATACATCATATTATGCATGTGTATATTATTATATATGTATGTGTGTATATATACAGATATATACCACATAGATGTGTATGTGTATTGTATGTAGCTATGCCTGGCTCTTCAATTCTATTACATTGATCAATGTGTCTGTTTTATGCCAATATCATGCTGTTTTTAATTATTACAGTTTTTCAACATAACTTGAAATCTGGAATAGTGATGCTATTCCAGCAGTTCTTTTATTGTTCAAGGTTGATTTGACTATCCTGGTGTGTGTGTATATGTGTGCATGTGTGTGTGTGTTTCCACATAAAGTTTAAGTTTCATTTTTCAATTTCTGTGAAGAATAGAATTGGAATTTAGATCAGGATTGCTTTTGGTAGAATGTCTATTTTCAAATTTTTTATCCTACCGATCAACAGCTCTGGAGGTCTTTCCATCTTCTGATGTCTTCTTCAGTGTCTTAAAATTTTTTTTTAATTTAACTTCTATTAATTACACTTTATTCATTTTGTATCCCCCCCATAACCCCCCCTCCTCCCCTCCCGGTCCCACCTTCCCCCCTCCTTTCTGCATGCATGCCCCTCCCCATGTCCACTGATTGGGGAGGTCCTCCTCTCCTTCTTTCTGATCTTAGTCTATCAGTTCTAAATTTTTTTATTTTATTTTATTTATTTTTATATTTTTAATATTAGTTACAGCTTGTTAACTTTGTATCCCTGCTGTATCCCACTCCTTCTTTCCCTCCCAATCCCACCCTCCCTCCCTCATCTCCTCCCTGCCCCTTTCCAAGTCCACTGACTGGGGAGGACCTCCTCCCCTTTCACCTGACCCTGGTTTATCAGATATCTTTAGGACTGCCTGCAAAGTCCTCCTCTGTGGCCTAACATGGCTGCTTCTCCCTCGGAGAGTTGGGGAGGGAAGGAGGTCAAAGAGCCTACCATTGAGTTCATGTCAGAAACAGTCCCTGTTCCCCTTATTAGGGTACCGACTTGGATACTGAGCTACCATGGGCTACATCCGAGCAGAGGTTCTAGGTTATATCCATACATGGTCCTTGGTTGGAGAAACAGTCTCATAAAAGACCCCTGTGCCCTGATATATTAGATCCTTGTGGAGCTCCTGTCCTCTCCACGTCATACTAACTCCCCCTTCTTTCATATGATTCCCTGCACTCTGCCGAAGGTTTGGCTATGAGTCTTAATATTTGCTTTGATACACTGCTAGGTAGAGTCTTCCAGAGGCCCTCTGTGGTAGACTCCTGTCCTGTTACTTGTTTTCTCCTACACCCAATGTCCATCCCATTTGTCTTTCTAAGTGAAGATTGATCATCTTACCCCGGGTCCTCTTTCTTGTTTATCATCTTTAGGTATACAGATTTATGTATGTTTGTCCTATCTTATTATATAAGTCTCTCTCACTTGGTTAGAGTCCCAACATATTTTTGAGGCTATTGTGAAAGGCATTGTTTCTCTGATTTCTTTCTCAGCACGTTTGTCATTTGTATATAGGAAGGCTACTGATTTTTATGTTACTTTCGTATTCTGTTATTTTGCTGGAGGTTCTCAAAAGATAAAACACAAATGGCTGAGAAACACTTAAAAATGTTCAGCATCCTTAGTCATCAGGTAAAATCAAATTAAAATCACATTGAGATTTCATCTTACCTTATTTAGAATGTCCAAGAATAATAAAACAAATGACAACAGATGGCAACCAGTTGCAGAGAAAGGGGGAAACTTATCCATTGCTGGTAGGAGTGCAAACTGGCACAGCCATTGTGGAACTCAGGATGGACGCTCCTCAAAAGCTGAAAATATATCTACCACAATATCCGCTGTACCACTACTGGACTCTACATTTTACTACAGAGATACTTGCTCATTCCTGTTCATTGCTATTTTATACATAATAGCCAGGAATTTCCAGTTTCCAGTTGGACACAATTTCTAGCTGTCTATCAACTGGCAGATAAATAATGAAAATGTGATACATTACACAATGAAATATTATTCAGCTCTTAAGAAAAATATAATTTGGAGGTAAAGGGATACAACTACAGTTATGCTGAGTGAGGTAACACAGACCCAGGAAGACAAACATTACATGTTTTCTCTTACACAAGGATGCCAGCTTTTAAGCTTTAGATATGTGTGGTTTCACTCAGAATAACTACAAATGTTAGTTAGCTAGTGAGGGACCAGGGAAGAAGAGAAATATTCCACAGAAGGGGAAATACACATAGCATTATAATGAGATAGAGGGGAAACTGTAATTGGAGGGAGTAGAGAGGGAATAGTAAAGGAAGGAATTGAGGAGGGACCTCCAACATGAAAGGCCTTTTGAGAAGACATATGGAAGCCTACTACTGAAATATATATATATGCATATGAACGGAATTTAAATTGAGTCACCATGTAATGGAAAAGACAATGCCCAAACCAGGTGTCTGTGTTACCAAGTAAAACCCCAGTGCCAGGAATGGGTTACATCTTGTTGAGTTATTGGCCAAAGGGGTCTCCCCAAACATCGCTAAGGCCCTGTAGCTGAGGACACTACTTACTAACATCATCAACTATGTAGGTGAGAGAGTGAGCTGGTGCACAAGTAGAAGCTTCATCCCT